TTTGATAATCCGATTTTGTGCTAAATATGTGGAAATTAAATTCTCAAGCAGAATTGTTCCTCTGGGGACAAAGTAAGAGTACAAAGCTATATATTTGGTAGAACACTTTGCAGCCTCTGAATTGAACTGTGTGTAAACCGTTCACTTTCCAGTAAATACAAGATTTTGGAGACGAAGATCGAGTCGACACTAAAGAAGACGCTGGAGATCAAGGAGGAGAAGATTCAGTCTCTGGAGTCGAGGCTGGAGGAGTCGAGCAGCCTGAACCAGCAGCTCCGCAGTGACCTTACCTCTGTAAGACCCTGTCTCATCCAGCTGCCAATTACACCACTATATAGAAAAACACAATTAAATGCAAAGCTTAGACTAGTCATATGAAATACTAATCAGATTTAAAATCTGCACACATAATCTCCTTCATTAATGAAGTGAACATATAAAGTCTATGAAAGAATGTTTCCAACCGTGAAGTACTATTCTAGGGTTAGCATTATTGCTGATTATATGTATAAATGGAACGATGACTGAAGTGCAAAATGATGATTGTTGTATAATAAACATTGGCTGAATTGAGAGTTTGTAAAGGCCCAGTTAAAGTTAGAAAAAACATTAGACTTTAAGTTCCAGAGCTGTTACCATTGTGTTTCAGATGGTTATATTAGGCGATTTGATTGGCTGTACTTCTAACTTTTAACATGGGCCTACTGGGGTTGTGGGTCTTGTTAGGTCTGATATTAACCTTCTTTGAAAAAGGACTCAGAAATGTACATCACATTAACGCTGTATTTATAATAGTAACATGAAGTTAAGCATTTATCGGGAACTCGCAATCATTTCGAACACCCTTTCCAAATGTAGCCTCAACCCTGAATGTTTTTGGTTAAGGAATTTTAACTGAAATCCACCAGAAATACTTTGATAGGGACCTCGATAGCACTCAAAGAGCCTTGCAGCCTCTATTTGGTTGAACCTGGTTAAATGGGACAACAACTCATGTGTAAAATGCTCAGCTTTAAAAACAAAACAAAACGCTCCATCCCAAGTTTGTGTTTTTGCTTTATCTAGATAGTTTCCCTTTCTGGACTTAATTTCCCTTTCCCTTTTAGATTTATTTAATTAAATCAAGTTTGAATTATGCCATTTTCCAGTGTCCAGCATTTTTTCAGTTATGATACTGACATACTTTACCTATCGTATGTGGAGAGTCACTGAAAAAGCAGAAAATGCTATTGGTTCCTGTGCTAAATTATTAAAATTCCTCTCACGACATAAATGCAAATGTTTGTTGTACAACATTGCATCTACTTGATAGATGTTCTGTGGGGATTACTATTTGTTGTAATCTGATTTGTTGTTTAACAGAAGAGTTCCTTTAATGGCAGCATAAACATAAAACGACTGTGCTGCTTTTGTTAAAAAGTAGTTGTAGACATTAGACTCAAATTAGGGTAAACAGTCACCTCTGAACTCTGGGCCTCTTGATTTCACCCACAGAGCTTCTGGTTTAAGAGTTTTAGCAGTTTGCGTCACTTGACAGGTCAAGGCGCAGATCTGTACATGAATCATTTGCGTTATTTTGCATGCAGGTGAAGAGAAGTCTGGAAGCTCTGAAACAGAGACAAGAAGAGGAAGAGGCTCACTCTCGGAGCTCAGCCAGCTGCTCCCCGGAGAGCCCTGGTCCCCCCAGGAAGGTCCAGGAGAAGTGGGAGACAGAGCACCGGGAGGCCACCATGGAGCTGCTCAAAGTGAAGGACCAGGTCATCGACGTCGAGAAGAACGTGAGTGTGCCACCAACTAACCTTTACGCGTTGCAGACTGGAGGAAGCCATCCGGCCTGCCTTCGGTTATTAATGATGTTCAAGTCAGCCCTTTCCTCAAGTGTCTCCCCTGGGTTCCAGAATGCAGCCCTCCAGGCAGAGAGGCACCTCCTGAAAGAGCAGCTCCGGCAGCTGGAAACCCAGAACAGCCAGCAGAACTGTCAGCTCCAGACTCTCCAGAGGCAGGCCGTCTCCCTGCAGGAACACAACACAGCGCTGCAGACACAGACCGCCAAGCTGCAGGTACGTGTGATGGATAGCCTTTCCAGTCAGAGTTGTGCAGCATGAGCAGGAAGAATGCTTTCCTTCTCAATAGGTGGGGATATACTGTACCATAAAGGGCTCACACAGAGGGCCTAGATCTTTCAATTAATCCTAGTAAACTGAAAGGCATCTTTCAACTCTGTGGCCATCATGCACAGGATGAATAAAACTATCTGGAACAACACTCCACAACATGAAAAGTTGAACAGAGCTGCTTTATGTAAGCTACCCAAACACTGAAATATGAATGCAGGTTTCCCTGCATTGGTAGATTTATTGGAAAGAGGAGTTGAAATTAAGTCTACAGTGTGCATAAATCTCTTGAAAAATCAATAACAGTTGCATTTTGATTGACGCAAATTTATGCAGCTCAGTACATGGTAGTTAGTGCTGCTGCTTCACAGGTGTTGAGTCCTGTGTTTGATTTCGGACTGATGGCATGTGTGTTTCTCCTGTCTTTGTATTGGTTTTCTTTGGAATTCCTCCTACCACCCAAAAACATGCAGTTGAAGTTAACTGTGAACATGTTATCTGAGATACAGGCCCCAGCTTGTGTACTACAAGTGAGTTGTGTTGCAAGGCTCATTCCGAACCCTGCGCTCTGCTCTCGGCAGGTGGAAAACTCCGCGCTGAACTCCCAGAGCGCCTCTCTCATGGCTCAGAACGCCACCCTGCAGAGCCAGCAGCAGCTGATGGAGAGCGAGGCGGAGAATCTTCAGAAGCAGAAAGAGGAGCTGAAGGGGGCCCACGAGTCCTTGCTGAAGGACCACGAGCACTTCATGGCCGTGCACGAGCGCCAGTCAGCAGAGTACGAAGCTCTCATTGGGCAGCACGGGGCTTTGAAGTCTGCGCACAGGGCTCTGGAGCAAGAGTACAAAAACCTGGAAGTGAGGTATGAAAGCCAAACAGATACAGGGCGAATTATCCTATACAGCAACATTTGTTTCCCATTTTCAACAGGTAAATAGTTGAAGGGTGCAAAGAAGAGGAAGTAGATGCATTTATTTACAAGTCAACTTTCTAAAGTTTTCTAAAGTGGAAACCAAACAAAGTCTTCGTCATACATGATCCCCCCCCCACAACCCAAATATTTTAATTACTCTGATTGATGGGCTTACTAGTTTCAGTTAAGTCCTATGTGTGTTTAATTTTATGGCTGAAAGTTACAATGTTAACTGTTGAAATTTGAACTATTGAATATTGAAGTGTCAAAGCATTTGATGAGCGTGGTATATGAGTAAAGAGGATTTTTTACAGCTGTTATGTATGACTGGATGAGTTAAGGGCACTTGAGTTCCCCTTACCTTATCAGAACTGTAACATGAGCATTGGTGCTGACCCTGAAATGAGTATTGAAAGCAGTATTCCTTTGTGAGGCGGGTTGATGACAAGGTCTGGAGAGGCCTGGTTACCTCAGTGATCAGCACAGATGTACTGTTACTGATCTCTGGCTCCCAAGGATTTTGGGTAGTCAAGGTGGCAGTTCTTTTCAATGATATTCTGGGCTGTTGTTGCCCATTTTGAAATCCCTTCATACTTTTCTCTTTATAATATAATGTTGAATTTACAGTTGCTAGTCATCCTAGTTCACTGTGACAGCCCTTTTTCTTGCACCAGGGATATTAAAGATGTTGTCCGGAATGTCTATTATGCTGCCTGCAGCACTGAACTCAAGGCACAAACAGCAGAGCTAATATATCAGGCAGAAGAAACACTTACAGGTCGCAGGTGCCTGGGCAGCCTCAGCAGTTACTTGAGGAAACTCCAAAACGAGACCCCAGAGCCCTCCTGACCATGATTGTCCTCAGCCCAGTGTTTTCTGTATGCAAATCTGTGTGCGTGTAGGTTCCTGTCGAAGATTAGTGAGGACTCGGTGTGAGTTTCCCTTTTAGGAAAGCCCTTCTTGCAGAGCTGTATGGCAGGGGCCTGGCAGCAGTCTGTGCACTGCATATGTGTGTAGGTGGTAGAAGAATGTATGCCACAACACACAGAGCCACATTTCCTCTCTATATGTTTCAGGTGTTGGGGTTTTAGCTGTGACAGATCTTTTAAGAGAATTTATTTTGAGAGGTCAAAACAGACCCTACAGACCCTACAGTTTCTACCCCCTGGATAGCAGCCATTCTATATGTGGCTTACTTTTAAATTTTCACTTGTTAAAACGTAGGTTGAGTTTTGAAAATTGCAACCCTGTTCCGATATCTGAGTTTTAAAACTCACCAAGTGAGTACCAAGTGTGCTGTCATTAATGGACAGATAACAGAGTACAGATGAGCTTCAAATGGGGTGATGTAATGGGGTGGTCCACAGGTCTTATAAATGTGATTATATATTTAGATTTGACTAAACTAGTCAAGTAGTCAAGTTTGTAGATGATGCCAAAACAGGAAGATTAATGAACGCTGCTGAAGCTGCAAGAGAAATTCAAAAATAAACACCTAATGTAGACAATTACTGCGAACCACATGCAGGTAGATGAAACATCGTCTTTGGACTGATCACAAAATCCAGAACAAGTAAAGACCCACAAGTCTAAACAAGCAAGCTGATTTAGAGCCGCTGGCAGCAGAACCACCAGAGACAGTAGTCCCCAAAAGAGCGAGTGTGGACATCATTACTGCAGGGGGCTGTGGAGAGTCTAGCCTCTCTTTGTACTGTCAAAGCATTAATGGGCCAGCTGTTTTATGGTCAAGTGTGACATTGGGGATCTCCGTCATGTCTCTGACTTTAACGACAAAAGAACCCTATCCCTTTTTTTATTTTTTGGTAAGCCGTACATTGGAAATTCCCTTTGTTAATCCATTTTCTGGAACGTTAAAAGAGCAGTGGAGGGCTGTAGGCAGTCCTGAAGTCAGCCGAGACTCTTGTGATTATCCCCATAACTGTAGACTAAGTCAGTTAAAAAGCTTTTCATACACAAATAATTAGCCTAGCTTTGTTTACAGTGTGACAGCTGCACTGCAGCGCAGGGTGGTGGAGAGCCTGCAAGCCTGCAGCTGTTGGTCTAATTAGTAGGAAAGAGCACCACTTACTCTTATTGTACTCAGCACCTCTTGGCAGGCTGCATAATTGAAATGTTCAGCTGGAAATGCTTGGTGTATTTTTGGTTTTATACCCCTGTTCTTTTGCTATCAGTGACTGATGGAAAGAGTGACCTTTCTTGTTCCAATACATTCCTGAATTTGTTATATCAAGGAGACTATCGTACAGTGTAAATGCCGAGCAATAAAAAATGTCTAAATGATTGCCCTCAGACATAATCAAAAGCACCACTGCAACATTATAAAATTAGCCATCCGCTGCTGGGTATTTCCATATTTGTTTAATTTGTTTTTAATGGACTGTTGTTTTTATTATACCCATCCGTGAGGCACAGGGGGTGCTGTGCCGCTGAGAGCCAACAGCTCTTGTACTAATCACACTCTGCTCCTGTTGTAGTCTAGAGTTGGCTAGTGACACAAACCAGGTTCGAGTCCATGATTTTGGGCCACTCGTGAGCCACTCAAGAGGATTTTGAATGTGTAAAAACTACTGTTTACTTCTCAGAAGAGTTAAATTGACAAACAGTCCAGAAAAACTGCCTCTGCACATTGGGATCCAGGGAAAGATTGAGTATAAGAGGATAGGTTAGGTGAAAGAGGACATCTATTTCAGAAAAAAGCTGCAACATCTTCAATGTTCCCCCTTAACCTGACATGAGTTGTTAGCCCCAGGTTATTGTTCCTCAAGAGTTAAAATGAAGCTAAAATCAAATTGACAAACCCCCCCGAGGATAACTGGCTTTAAAAAGCCAGTTAAATTCACTAAAGATTAATGCCTGTTCAGCTTTTTCCCTCTGGTCTCAGGTGGCAAACAGCACTGGTGCATTAGTGAAGTCGGTCATTAATTATTAAATGCTAGGTTTAGCTGTCATACAGTGTTGCTCCTAACAGTGTTAGGAGAAACCTACCATGTGATTTAATCTCTTCTGTGAGGGGACACCATGCATTATTCTATCAATCAGTATTTAAGTTTCATCTCGGCTCAGAGTAGCTTTTAGCAGACAGGTTTGAAAATACTCAGGTAATGTGCATAATTCTGCGAAACACAGCCCCAGCTTGATTTATATAGCTTTGCACAATCATGGCCTTTTTGGTATTTGTTTTTTTTTCCTGCCACAGTGATCAATATAATCAATGCCTGTGTTACAGCCTGCTTTAAATTCATTAGTATTTGCAGCTGTTTCCCATTTTGTTATATAATCAGAGGCATACCTATCAATAGGTCAAGTAGCCTGCATTCATTCTTTTTGGGCTTTGCCAAATCATTACATTTATAAAGGAGAAAACTTATCTGCTTTTGCACAGCACATGTTAAACATGACCTTTATTATTGTATTATTCTGTTGAATCTAACCTCCTGCCGCCGATTATTTTCAGGATGTTCTTCAGTTATTGTTACAAAATGGGGGGTTATGAAAGTGGTGAATAACAGCAATTGACCCAAGGGCTTCGTCAGTACTTAAAATAAACAACCATAAACCCCAACTTTTTAGAATTTTTCAAAGAATAGACCCGAGCAGTTGGTATAATTAGAGGCATGTGAATTCTTTATTCTCTGGCACAGCTTTGGTGGGGAAAAAAAAGTTATAATTCAGGCACACTCGGTTGAAGAAATATTTATTAACGGTGACAATGCAAACACTACACTATACACAACATAAATCTACAACACACGTTTTCCTATATAGTGTTACAAGTTTACAGACAAGGTGTTTCAGAGATCTACTTCATCACCAGGGAAAACCCCAGACTGCTACTAAGTATTCGACTCTTAAAGAATTCCTACAGAGGCCAAAAGAAGAGATAAGCTGCCTTCTAAACTAAATAGAATACAGCCTGCGGTTAAATCTCTTTCTAACCCAAAAAATAAATGGAAGCCTATCTTCCTATTCTTAAATGCACCCACTAAGCAGGATAGGCAGTTTTAAATTGAGGGATTCTTCACTCCCTGAAAGCTACAGAACAGCAATCTCTCTTATCAAGATTTAACTAATGGAGGCCAATCATGTCCTCTAATCTCGAACATGGAACTCTCTCCTGGCACATACTTCATATTCCATCCCTCCCTGGCTCCTCTCTCTCGTGGTTTCCTCCCCCCCACCCCTTTCTTTCCCCTGTCTTGATCTGATCTTATATGGTGTCTTTCTGGACTGTCAATTGATATTTAATCATTTACCCAGAACGTAAGTAACTAAGGTAAACCAAGGTCAGCTTTATGATTTGATCGCAGGATCTGGAGCCCTTACATCTCAGCAAACATCCCCTTTGCTTTGAAGCTTTTAAACTCTTAGAGACACTTCCTAATCGCCTATAGCTGTAACAATTTCTTGTACGTCTTGTCAAGCAGAACAGCCGTTAATATAATTCATACAGGACACAGATATTAAATCCAGGATCTGATCATTTTTTGGACATAAACCTATCCCATGCACAAAAAGTCTCAATGTCTACATTAAAATGGAAAATGAGGTGGTTGCCAAGTTTCCTAAGGTTTTTTTTGTTAAGTTCTGTTGCAGTGTTTCTTTGATGAATGGCCGTAATGAAGTAGTTTTCTCCTCTTTGTTCCTCCTTTGAAGTTTTTTCCTCCTCAAAAAAGAAATTATTTCTTCTTGATATTTTGTTTACACATTATCAACCCCGGCAAGCACTGGACCTTAGAAGCACGGAATGTACCACAAGTTCCAATGCATTTACAGTTTGCCAAAAACAGAATTGTGGTGCTGATTTCCTTGTATTGGGAAGCTTAAGTGAAAAGGTGGAAAAATGGCCTTACAATTAAGTGAAGCAATTTCTTACTTTGCGTATCACCCAGATGAAGCTGCTCTTCAGTTGGATTCAGTACCCCTCCCGTAAGTAGTAGTTTGTATGATGAAAAATGCTATTTAAACGCAATCAGTAATGAATATCGTTCGTCCTTTGGTATTGTCCATCTTGCAGGTATGGGGCTCTGGTGCAACAGAAGGTGGCTGTGGAAGAGCTGGAATCGGCCCTGAAAAGGGAGAAGGAGAACCTGGAGGCGGAGCTGCACAGGAACAGCCTCATTCTGGAAGAGAACCATGACCTGAAGGAGCAGATAGACAGGTCACCTCTCCGCTTTTATTTCTGCCACGTGATGACCACTCCCGTCTTTCTCCTGCCCGTCTTCTGGTGGAATGAACAAGCGGAGTAAAGTCCTGCACACAGAAATAACATGTTTATGCAGCTCCAGTTTTTATTCGATGAGGTGTTAAAACAGATGTGCTCAGTTAATGTCGTTTTGATAACATTTCCCTTATATTGTACATCTACCATGTTTAGTTCCAAACGGATATTTTCTTTATCTAGCCTCTTGCTTTTTCAAACCTTCCTTTGCCCTCCGCAAGATAGCCGTAAATCACTGTCTCCCTCTACTGGACAATTTGTATAATGGTTTTTCTGAGCTCGAATGCCCTCTTGAGATGTTAATGGATATCCTGTCAGTTCAGTAAGACAACTTTTTGTTCAGTTTTTTTTAGTTTAAATATTTAAGTGTCAGACAAGAGTCTTGGTCTTTAGTCAACCTTAGACTTTTCTTTGGGTTCAAAATCATTCTAGTGAACTGTCTCATCTCCTTCTTGTGATCTGGTTGTACAGTACTCATAGAAGTCTACTTCATAGATAAACCACGTTCATGCACATCTGAGATAGCAATCCAGAAACCTGCATATCTTTATGGGTTAATTTTATTTTGAAAACCTTTACAAACATTAGTTGAGGACTCCAAAAACCTGTAAGAAGAGTCTTAATTAACCGAAAGGTCCGTTACCTCTCCCATGTGGTGACGGCAGTTGAGGCTGTGAGCCGAGACAGTTGACAGGTTGCAATTTCCAAAACAAAACCGAAAAAAAAAAAAAACCGCCAATCCAAAAAAAAAGCAAAAAAAACGCCTTCCCCCCAATGTCCAAGCTGACGGATCTCACTAACCTGCTTCTACACAAGAAAAGGTTCTCCAGGCCTGTCCCTGCTGGCGGTGGGGGGGTAACCGGTGCCGTGTGTCTTGTGCAGGCTCACCGCGGCGCACGACCTGCTGAGGGGGGAATGTGAGGGCTTGCGAGTACACAGCAAGGAGCTGAAGACCGCGCTGAACAACGAGCAGCTGGACCTGAACCGCTGGCAGGCTCGCTTCGACGAGCTGAAGGAGCAGAACCAAAACATGGATATCTCCCTCGCCAAGCTGGACAATCACTGCGAGGTATGTCAGCACCGCAGGTTACTCGGTAAAAGCCCTGCCTTTAAATGCAGGAGGAGAGGTGGGAAGCCAGTGCTTAAAGTCTGAAGAACTGGGAAGCAGCTAATTATTTTTTATTTACTTAAAAAAACATGCCAAGAATTAGGCTAGGCTTGACCTTTTTTAATTAACTTTGAGAACTCAGTTTTTTTTGTGGTAAAAGAACTCCGTTTTCCCCTCCAGCTCCTGACGCGACTGAAGGGGAACCTGGAGGAGGAGAACCACCACCTTCTGAGCCAGATCCAGATGTTGAGCCAGCAGAACCAGAGCCTGCTTGAGCACACCATGGAGAGCAAGGAGCTGTACCACGAGGAGCAAAAACAGTACATGTAAGAGCAGCTCAGGGGAGAGCACACCAAGGAGAGAAAATATCAGACTAGAAAACACGAGATAGCTTATAGTCGAGAGCGTGCTACTTGGCCCGTCGTGATTCTCATTTATCCGTATTTTGAAAGAGGGCAAGGGGTTGGCTTCAACAGCAAAGCTAGGCAGCTTGTTCCAGACCCCCCAGCCCTCTTGTTGTGAGTTTTTAACACATTTAAGATTAATAGAGAATGGTAATCCTGAATCAGAAGACAGAAACTGACAACGCACATTGCGTATTAGTGGGCCGTGAAGGGGGCTAAAGGAGATGATCCTGTTCATTTTTATAGAAGGTTCTAACGAAATGGCTGCTCTTGCTGCCGTTGTATATACTAACAGGTATATTGACTTTACTTCACATTTACATGTCTCACTATGGTCTTTTGAGACTTTTTATTTTGCAAAGTTGGGTGAAGCCTGAGAGGCTCTTAAATGTTGTGGAAAGAAGTTGGACATTACCTTTTGCTGGTCAATAACTGGGATCATGAGAATGATTTTTTTTGTCTTTATGTCATTATGCTTCATCATCCCCATTTCCTTTTTTTTGTGTGAAATCCTGTTCTTTGTATTTTTGTTTTGGATTCTATTGTTTGGAATTTGCCCTAACAAGACCTTTTTCCTTCCTTTACTTAATTTTCTCAACACATGGATTGTTTAATCAAAACACTCTACTTCACCTAAAAAAGGCGATTAAAACCCATTTGTTAGGAATGAACTTTTTTTCCCTTAATAGAGCAACGAGGAGCTTGAAAGTACTTTAAATTGAGTTTGAAATTGAATGATGAATGTTGCAACACACTGTCTTGAAAGTAAATCTGCAGAGCATTGCTTTTGAGATGTTGGAATTCCGGAGTGTAAATTTCTAAATTTGTGTAATGGGTAAAGACGCTGAAATAATTAACTCTTTTCTTGTTGTTGTTTTTTTAATGTGGATTTAGTTTCACACCTCTTGGTCAACATCTCCTGATGTCTGCTTTTGAGGCATTGTCTTTTCTTTTAGTTTTTGCCACCACTTCTGAAATACTGATGTGAAGCTGTGTTTTTTCTTTGCTGCAGAGACAAATTAAATTCTCTCCGGAGGCAAAAAGAGAAACTAGAAGAGAAGATTATGGATCAATATAAATACTACGATCCAATTCCAAAAAAGTAAGCACCCCCTCTCTGCCTCCTGAGTTGTAGTGCACACGGGATTGTTTCTGTTTTCTGAACAACTATACTTCTGAAATGCTCATTCTGAAAAGGATTTGCGTTATAGCCTTTCTCTCATCCAATTTTTTTTTGTTTCGTTAACAGGAGGAATCACTGGGTTGGTGCGAGAGCTCTGGTCAAACTGATAAAGCCAAAGAAAGATGGCTCCCGGGAACGCCTGAGGCCCAACCCGGAGGGCCCTCAGCCGCAGCCGTCGGACTGTCCAGAGGAGCCCCCCCCACTCCCGCCACCCCCCCTGCCCCCCCGGCGCTCCCGCCTCAGCATGGAGTCGGTGGGCTCGCGGTCCCTGGAGGAGAACCACACGAGCAGCACCAAAGGTAAACTCGGGGGCCACCTGGCCAAGCTCAGTGTGCCGGGCTCAAGGGAGAGTTTCCAGCCTCTGCGCTGAGGAAGGCAGAGCGTGGAGATGAAAATAATGCCTTAACGCACTTAAGTGGATCCCATTCACACAGGTGATTCAAAGCACCAGATTGAACGACAGTCGACTGTTTGTCTTAATGTAGTGATGTACTTGAGTATCCCTGGCGGCTGCAGGTGGGTAGAAAGAAGGCTGTGTGATGAAATATCACAGAAATATTCGCTTTGACCGGTCCTCTCTGGCATTCCTTCCTGGGGCAGCACATTGACAAGGTCAGTTATAAATTCTGCAGCTAAAAGCTCAAAAGGCAGTGCAGAGGGAGTCAGGTCTGTGGAAGCATCACTTAACCGGGTTGATTCTCTCTATAAAGAGGGATTAAGAGGTGCCTGTCTGTCTCCAGGCTTCCTGTAGATTATAGGCAAGAAGTGAAATTTGGCTTGTGAAAAACAATTGACGTGCTACTAAATATATATTAGCAAATAAATAATCCTGTCTCAGATATTTAACTTTGTAGAACTATCACTTCCATTCACTTTTCATAGACACAGACACAACATAACCAACATTATTTTCATTATGTTTTTTAATAGTCTTGCATTTATGTATGCTACCGTGAACTGTGAATTTAGTCACACAAAGAAATATAAATATTATGAAATTGCGAATCAGTTATCATTAACATTGTATTGTGAATCAATGATATCCACTTTCTAAGAACTATGCATGTAGTTTGCATTAAATAGAGTTAGGTACTCAGATAGGTACTTGCGTCAGCATGCGTAGGCTGCAAAGGAACAAGTAAAGGTTTATTCCATTTTTCAGTATGTGATAAACCTTTCCTTGTTCCTAAAATAGAATTACTTTGACAATCGGTTGATTAAGTTCTTCGTTTCTGTGCCACAAACAGTTTGTTGAAGAGTTTAGCCATTTTCCATCATATTTTTCGGAGTGGAGTTCAGAAATATTCATATCTGCTCAATTGTGCTGCTTGAAGGATATGTAAATTTGTCTTTATATGCATTTTCCGACTGTTCCTTACTAAAGAACATTGATATTTGTTTATGGGAATTGATTTGAATAAAACTTTATATCGGTACATTTTTCTGATGTATCAACTTACAATTCATTTTTGTTCACAAACACAGACAAATCATAACCAACATTATTTTCATTGTTTTCAAGCATGGATTATATTTTAAGAAAGCAGGATGATTTCAAGAAGCTCAACTCCACTCCCCCTTTGTAACATAGAAACACTGCGAACTGCTAGCTTACTGATTTGCAGTATCTTCAGATCTTTAACAAGTGGACCTCTTTGATCTTAAAATGAATCAAGATTTCAGTTTTCCACTAGAGGGCATAATATCCAAAGAGATTGTAAGAGAGATGTAAATGTACTATTCCTACTAATCCCTTCATCTAATGTTTCTGTCACTGGGAAGAGGGAAAGATTGCTGAGGTGGCTATATCTCTAAACCTGCCTCTCTGCTTTTATTCCACTCTTGGGTGAAAGGTGTTTCTTTCTGTTCCTAATAGTAAAAATCTAGATTTAATGCATGCATTGTTTTTGTTTTGGAGTGTTCTTTTACTCTTTTTTTTAAGTCATCTAATCTTCCATTCAACCCTTTTTCTCTTTTTTTTGTGCAATAACCCTGTAGCTCCAACTTCATCGAAACGGTTCCCTTTTCTGAGAAGCAAAAGCCAGGAGAAACTGAAGTCTCCCAAGACCCCCCCTGAGCGGCGTTCTTTCACTAAGCGCCTCCGGTTCTGGTCATCCTCTGACATCCCATCTTCTCCTAATGAATCCATCTCTTTCTCAGAAATCGGGGAGTTCTAACACATCAGTCCTGTCTTATTTTTCTGTCCGCTGCCTTTGTTTTCCATCTAACACGAAGCACACAGCCTGTAACTGGCAGTGTACAGCTACTGTGTCACGGAGGGTATGGCCAGCACAACCTACAGAGAACCCTGTTCTGGAAGAGGACTGGAGTGATCAGTGATAAGCTCAGCATTGAACAACATAGGAACATGTACAATCAAGAACATTAATCTAGCCCGTTTAATAAAAAAACAGACCAATCCTAAAAAATCCCCTAGCCCCACACCAATATGCATAGATATGAAATGAAAATGCTGACATACTACAGCATTTGCCTGGCCATTGAGGCTTTGAGTTGGAATCTGCTTGAATGTACTTGCAGTAAGTAGTATCTTTTAAATACTAACATTTAACTGAAGTTAAATACTAGTCTTTAGATCTGGAGTATTATCATGTTAAATGATAATGGGTTTTATTTTATATGTGTAGCTGGTTTACTGTGTGCAGTTTGATCGATTATTTCTGTTGTGTTTGGTCTAAATACAAGTCTAAATTTGTATTCTATCATGTCAATTAAAATCACAAAGTAGAGTTATAGCTGCTTGCTTTACTGCTTTGAGAGGGGAATTCTTAATATTTAAGACTTGCACTAAGCAGGTGTAAGAGCGAGCTTTAACTCTCTGATATGGGGGAGTTTTGTACATGAATGCTTCCTCCTGTATGCCCTCAAACACTGGCTAGATTTCTGTTTTACAGCAGTGTCACACGTGGCTGTAGCCTCTTCACCTGTCCTGTCTGTCCCTTTACATCACGTTTGCTGTCTGCATCATTGGCTTTCCACCTTTTCCTTCACTGGCACGACTTGCCTGCGCATCTCTGTCTCCCCGCTAGCCAGCTCAGTAAGGATGTACCCATGAATTATAGATGGCCTGATCGTGTGTCAGCGCCGTCTAAAGAATCGCAGGCCCACTGATCAGAGCCACTCACCAGCTGTTCTGTGAAAAGAAGCGCTTATCTTAGCCATTAGCATTAAGATTCTGAAAGCAATTAAGAGCACAAAATTTTAGGATTAATGCATGTTTGATAACACTGCCCCTTGGCACAGAAGAACTGATGCCTGACTGCTTGTGTTTTGTGCAGCAGGTATGCCTGAAACTCGACCAAGGACTGTGCGTGCACTAATCGTGGTTTCTTTTGTCAGTAAAATCTCTAACCTCTGGAAATGATAGGTTATAGATATACCGCTATGCAGCAGAGACGTATAACATCCTCATTATGACAAAACAAGATTATCACTGTATTTCTACACCAGCCATGCTGAGAAACAAAACTATATGTGGTTGTTCTTTCCGTTCCCTCTGTTTAAGACCAAGTTAAAACTCACAAACCAAATTACGTTGGGGCTATCAGTGAGTGCATCTTTCCAAAATCAACTAAGTTTCTCCCATGCTGGAAAAAATTGAATAGCCTTCAGCATTTTTAAGAATGGTCTTAGAAGACATTTCCACAATAGTCTTCTCGGACTGTCTGAATCCACACTCATGTGAAATAAAATATAAAGTGAAGCTGTCAAGTCATGTCTGGATGAGAGTAATGCAAGAGCTTTTCACATTGCTTTGCACGTATAACTTAAGCATCCTTGTCTGTTCTCAGTCTAGGCATGGTAATATTTTAATTTAAAGGAACATGAAAATAATCCTCCCTTTTGTGTCATCTTTGAGAGTCACTGCTTCAGACATTTTTGTCATCTTCTTTTACTGCACACTGCCCTTTTACATTACTGCTCACTTATGCTTACTGTGGATGCATTGCTCCTGGAAAGGTCAGGACTATTGCACCAAGATTGCCGTGGAAGCTCAGCAATACTGTATTTACCCAGCATATTTCCCCAGAGGTGAAATACTGAAGGTGGACCCACAAAAAATGTTTTTGAATCAGAATTTCAAAGGGCAGTTGCTAGCTATTTTTTTTCAAGAACTCTTTAATTATGAGGCACTTTCTGACTTGCATGCCGTAAAATAAATGAGCCTTTTGTTTGCAGTGCAGTTTGAATTCTTATTTTGCTAAAATTAGGGGGTATTGGCTTGGGCTTTTTAAAGTCCCTTACTAGTCAGGCTTGGATGTCAAGAAAATTTCTCTGTGATCTATTCTGCTTTGGCGCAATTTACTTCCAGTTGCCACTATCGGAGGTCGCACCCAATACCACAGGGCCCCGTCTTCTGCTGTTGTGCATTTTCACCCGTTTCTGTACACCTGCTTGCACAACTAGCCGTGAACCTTCCTTGCTTTAGCTATGGCTTTAGACGACACCAGCTTTCTTTGCAGATCTCTTGGCTTCTAATGTCAAAAGTTAATTTGTCCTGTTGGCTCTAGCTTTCGACGACACCAGCCCCATACTAAGGGAGATGCACAGGACCACAGGAAGTAATGAAAGCGTGCAAGGCCCTGAAGACCCTGTTGCTAGGCGACGGCGCATGGAGCTGGGATCCATGACCTACTCTACCTCAGCAATTCCCACGAGTGCCTCCATGTCCACTCCCAACCCTACCTCCAGGCCTGCTCACAGGCCCAAAGGTACACAGCTTTCATATTTGTTCCATAACATGGTTTTATAAAAAAAAACTTAAACATGTAAAATCAGAGACCCACACATCCCTAGATTTGTCCCTTCAAGGTATCTCTAGTTGTTAAAATTGGAAATCAGCTTTGGGGTTAATCACATAGGCGGCAACGGAAATACACATTGCATTACATACAGTATATGTGTTAAATATATATGTATTAAATTCCTAGAGACTGAAATGACTCATTCAGCAAGACAAACATTGCCACTTATCAAAAGGTCTTACATTTGTAAATAGGATTCTCTTAATAACAGGTTCTTGCTAAAAAATTTTATTAGCACATATTGAGCAATAAGTAAATCTAAATTTTAGATGTGTTTTTTTTGTAACTGGAAGTGCCATGTTGAATCTTTTAGTTCTGTGTTGCTGTGACACAATTGTAATGTCCTCTATTTGGGAAAAACTTGAATGCAGACATTCTTGTTGCTGTCACATAAACATTAGAAATCCTAACCTCAGGAAATTGGTGAAAAACCTAACCAAAATGTATTTTTTGTAAATTAATCAGGTGTCATCTTCTCCTGTTTTTTTTTTTTGTGTTAGCACATTGTCCGATTCTTACAATTGATTTAAAAATGTGACTAGGATTAGAGTTTTAAAAGGAGAACTGCAGTCCCCATTTCTCAGACTGGTTATTAAATCTCTGTAACAAAATAGACTTTGTCAACTTTGACAAATTCCAAATTAAGCGCAAGATCATGAACTTTTTGAAAGTACTGTAAGTCGCCATGTTGTCGCAAACCCCTGATTTCCCATGATTTGCGATGTGAAGTAGCTCTTCCTGCTCGCTAGTCACTGTAGTGACCAATGTAATGCAGTGTACGAGAGAATAAGTACAGGTTGCACAGGAAGCATTTCACCACTTACATGTCTCAACGTGATCTGCATGCAGAGTTGACAAATGTTACTTATTTGTCTGCAAAACCATCTTGAAGTTGAGAGCAATATTTTTATTGGCTTAAAAGAGATGTGTTTACAAGCCTGCTTGTTTACAGCGTCACAGGGTCGCTTCACATCACCAAAAGTTTGCCTTGTTCTGTGATTCAGAACATGATGCTGTGCATACTTGGAAAATTAATCTATTTTGTGATGTAAATAGGAGGTTTTAGACATTACTGTGTACATTTTACTTTCATGGTGGTTTGAAACGCACTCATCAATGCCAATTGTTTCTAACCCTGAAATATAAAAACAGCGTTTCATTTCTCCTTTAAAGGAAACGTATTGTTACACATTCAAATCCTGGTCTGTTTTTTGCAGAACAAAGGGGCGATTTAATTAAGACGAGATTATTAACTGAATCCTCAAATGTATTTAGGAAAGATGAAACCAATGTCTTATTCAACAACATCAACCCATATTGGTCCCATGGCTGAAACTAGTACCATGGCTTCCCTCACAAAATGTCTGGTTCATCAGATTAATCATTAAGTACTTACCGAACTGGAAACTAGAAAAGACACATAACCTTCCTCATTGGACACCTACAGAGTACATACATCATACAGAATGTATTCATAAATAATATGAATCACTCCATGCTCGATGAAATTGCTGACTGCAACTTCATTGATGTTTACTGGAGGTGTAGTAAAGCCCAGATGCTTAAGATGTTTAATCATAATGAATGGAAAATGTTGTCTGTAGTTGCAAATATGTTACAGAACGTTAGCATAATCTCTGAATGATACATGTCTGATGTCCACATTTCTATGAAGAACTATAAAAAAAGTCTGTCTACCTTAGTAGAGGAAGAGGAAGGCCCCAGTTTATCTGATGAACAAGCACACCGACATCCCACAGTCACTCAGTAACACTTCCTGCAGTGATAATAGTTTGTATACCACGTCAAGGTCATGCTGGTCACATCTCCCCACATTGAATGACATGACTCTTCCTCTGCATATGGGTTAGCTGAACTTATTATTCTAATTCTTTGTGTACCTTCTGCACAAAGATATTTGTACAGTAGTCATTAGCTCTGTCAATTTAAAAAATGTAATTCAATAACTGTAAATAATATTTTGTGGCATATAATATTATGGCATTACGGCAGACTTTCTCTCTCTCTCTCTGGCAGGGTTTAATTCAGACGATGATTTGCATTTACTATCACCTGATATAGCTTTTGTCAGCAGCTACCATGGAAAGCAAGGTATGGATTCATTGTTAGGTCGTGCTTGTCCATATACCATATGCCTCTGCAGTGATTTTAAGATTGCACACCTGAATGTCAATATTGCTGCCATGGACAGAGGGTCAATAATAATTCTTGGCTTTTGAGGCATGTGCAGGCAGGATAAAAGATCAGAGCAGCTTATGAGGAGCTTGAGTTGAGTATTTAAAAATCCAGTAAGATATGAATTAATTCATTGCAGCCGACTGCTTAAAAGTCTAACAGTGAAATAACGACCCTACAGTAGGTAACAAATAGAAATAAAGTGTGGATGATTTAAGGACTGATACTTGTACTTTTCATACAGATATCTGTAGATGTCTGGGACAAATGGTCGAGATATGCTGTTGAAGTTAACTCCCTGAACCCTTTGAAAAGACAAATCTCTGGTTGAGATTCTTGGATCGATAAACTACAGACAACCTAGCAAGCGAAGATGAATTGAACATTCTCATCCTTGTAATGATTTAAATGTTCCTTTTAGCCTCTGGACATGCTACAGTGACTCAGTTCTTCAGGTCAAAAATCAGAGGGAAACATAACCAATAACATCTGAAAGAGAGAGCTGTTTAAAAGCGAGTGCTGCCCTGTTTTAAACATATATCTGAATCTTTCCATTTGTACGCCACATAATGGTGGGTCTAGAATGTTCTTTGAATCGTTTTTCATTTGTAATTACTTTCACATAAATGTTTCCATCTAAACTCAGTTCTGCAAGTATAAAGAAATCATTTGCCTGTTAAAAACCTGTTGTCACAACACCAGTTAAGGTGGAAATTCTGTAGCCAAGACATTTTTCAATGGCTCATGCCAATGAAAGGGTCTCCTACTTTTAACTGCAGTATGAGTCATTCACACAGTATGAACTTCAACAAAAAAGAACACAAGTTTTTAGTTTTAAATATATTTTAGTTTTCACTTAGGATACAACATACAGTAACTATTGATATACGAATTATGCCAAAATTTAGTATTTCACTGCATTCCATTTGCAAGGAAAAAGTCTATTTTTAAATATTCAAATAGCTATCCAAGGAAAGTGGTGGAAATAGTCAGACAAATATTGTTTTACCTTACTGAAAGATTTTTACATTTATGTTTGTCATGAGAGATACAATCAAGCACACAGCTTTTAGAATCAGTTGTACAAAGAATGGTCCTGAGATCTTCTAAAAGCTTCTGTATGTTTGTGAGACATTTTCAGATGCAGACCTGAACAGAATAGTCTCATCAGACAATGACTGATAAGTGGGTCTTGACCTTTTACTAAGGCAAATGTGGCTTATACACACAGAAATAAACCTAAGTTCTAAAGCCTTCTTTTCTTTCTAACTGATGCAGATTTGTTTTTTTTAAATTTCTTGTTATCTGATGAAGCATTATTAAATGTCAGTTATACTCACAGTGGTAGGTCAAGTGTACAGAGGTTTCTTTCATTTCCGCTTCTCTAGTGGTATCTGATGATACCAGAGTGCTTTCGTACGCAGTGCAGTAAAGTGCAAGGCTCTGAAAGTTTTCTTTTAAAAAGGTGATTTTGAAAACCCTATAACCAGATTTGTTTCCTTCATGCAGCTCACAGGCCAGGCTCCTCAGAGATCAGTAGGAATAGCTCCAGTAGCAGCTCTCCTGTCAACTCCAAAGGTACTTCTGATGATTTTCCAGATTAAGCTTTTAAAGAAGTGGGTTTGTCTGTTCTGAAGAAGGCTTTTGTTACAGTACCTGGCTGCAGTGGTATGGCCTCCCAGCTTAACATTGTCGTGAACCTGTTCTTACTTCAGAGAGCCCTTTTCCTTGAAAAGTGATTTAAATGGTGTAAAACTGTTGTGGGGGTGGCACGGTGACACAGTGGATAGCATTGTCTCACAGCGCTGCTCTTGCTGTGTTCATATGGGTTTCATCCATGTGCTCTGGTTTCCTCTCACAAGCCAAAGACATACTGGTAGGTTAATTGGCTTCAGGGAAAAAATTGGCTCTGGTGTGAGTGTGTACAGTACAGTATGTGACTGTGTGTGCCCTGTGATAACTTGGCATCCCCTCCTGATTGTATCCTGCCTTGTGGTGGGATAGGCTCTCCCTCCCCCTCAATCCTGTAATGGATAAAACAGTAAGAAAGTGGATGGGTGGGTCAGGGGTTCTCTTTTTCTTTGGAACAATTTTCTGACTTTGACCCTGTCTAAAGGGCTTTAGAAAAACCTGCTCAAATATGGGCCAATGTTGTATAGTGAACACATGTTTTACAGTCTGTCAATGCGTCTGATGTGTTAGGAGGTCTGTGGGTTGTAGGAATAAAATTAGCAATTAGCAAAAGGGCTTGCTGCCCAAACCTCATTTCACAGGGCAGAACAGAAACTTGGTTGCTACAGTTTTGAGTAGCGGTTGCTCACGGACGCCTGCCAGGATACAGCAGTTCAGCCACACATACCCTGAACCACAGTCCTCAAAATCCTCTCACAGAGCCTCACAGCCTGAGAAGTCCCCACGGGCACAACCTTTTCACTGACTCTCGCTGGGATTACACAAACATTCAGCAGGCACAAACATGACACAATCGCATTGGTCTGTGCTCTTCACAGCAACGGTTCCTTTTTACTCTATTAACTGTGTAGACATCACTTAGACCATTGCCATATCACAATGCTGTTAATCTGACGAGAATATTCCTAAACTTTGAATAGAAGACTTTTTTATGTCTAATGCTAGATTAAAAAAATATAAATTTTTCTGCATTCGTTTATTTTCTTTTTCATCACTTTATACCGTGATTTACGTGCCAGCAGTGTCAACTCATGGTATTTTTATGACCAGTAAGAGATTTGCAGATAAGCGAACATGACAGAGGTTCTTACAGTGTGGAAGGTTTGAAGCCAAAATACATTAATCAATATTCCAAGCATGAAATTCTAGATGTCATCTTCAGCATTGCTTTTTGTGCCCCATACAAAAAAAACTTTTAAGTTTTTTACAGTATGTAATGTAAAATAAACTAGCTTCATGCCAGAGCTCATTAATTGGCTTTTATTAGACAGATAGGTAGGGGTATAAACATTGTTGTAAACAGTGTGGACTATAAGCTAGTGCTACAAAAGAATTGTCTTTTACAATTAGCTGGTCTGCAGGAGCATAATAATAATAATATTGTTATTGTTAATAATAATAATAATAATAATAATAATAATCTGAGCAATACATGTTGTTAAGGATTAGCTGTATGTACACTGCAATGTATTATGGCAGATCTTAGGCTATCAAAGCACTTTCCATATTCCTCTTCAATAGCTCACAACCAACTTTTGGGTCAGGGCCCCTAGTATGAAACTGCGGGATAGAATGTTATGTTTTGTACTAAGTTTTGCTGTTCAGTTTATTCTGTGTGCTGTTTCTTCAGAAGGAAGTGGCAGCCCTTCCCTTGATAACGATGTGCTGCTCTTTCCAGATTCTTTGGATCGGGCTCATGGAAGGCCTGCCAGCCTGTCAAGCGACGAGGTGATTGTCAGCCATGAGGTTACAACACTGCCCCGGGACAGCTACCAGCAGCACTCTGCCCCTCTCTCTCGGGGCGCCTTGCTGTTGTATGACACCCCTCTGAAAAGTGGCCATGTCCAGCCCCCCGCCCGCCCCCGCCACAGGCCGTCCTCCCCAGGCAGCGAGATGGTCACTTTGGAAGAGTTTCTGCAGGAGAGCAACGTGCTGTCTCCACCCACTGTAAGAGCATTTCTTTTGGAGATCCCAAGTGATTGTTGCTGTAAGCTCAGAAGCACACGCGTTGCTCTTGTCATTGAGGTGTTCTGGAGCAAAAACCTGCATTAGGAACAAGAGGGGTGTTCATTGTCATGTTCAAGGCAGAAACAGCAAGTATGGTTTCATCTGCAATGCCCCCATGTTTGTACATTGTTAATCTTGAATTTGTCAATGCAGTATGCTTGAAAAGCCTTAAAAGATTATAATCAACACAATGAGCATCCCAAAACCATGTTTGTATAGTGTTGTATAAATTAACACTATATATTTAATTATATATAGTGTTAATAAAACATTATTTTATAGCTTGCAGTCAGATGGGAAATGGGCTTACAGTCATTTTTCAGTTGTAGTGTGTTGAAGGTAATCTAACTCTTCTTTTTTGACTTGTGTTTTTCCTTGCAAATTTGTGAGTTTGATTCCAAAGAGGGAATTAGTATAGGATAGGAATCCAGAAAGATCTCATCCTTGTTAATGCACAAACCACAGTCAGGAAGTATATAGGTACACCAGTCAGGAGTCGTAGTATTACTATTGCAGAGGTGCCTAAAGATTGTAATCCAGATTGTCAGTCTCCCATAATGCTGAGTTCTGTCAGCAGTGGTTGATGTTGCATACAGAAATGATCCCTAAGCTGCTCCTTCTGAATCTGGGAATGGTCTAATTGAGTCCATAGACAGAACTGTCAGCTTCTGGGTCGATCACAGGTATTTCCCGTCCGTCCTTAGCACTACTGGAGACTCGTAGTAGTGGATGGGAGGTCCACAGTGTTGTTTCACATTATGATGTTCCTTTCTGCATATATTCCAGAGTACATTCCTTCTGTCCTTTACTGAGCTGCGCAGTCATTACAGTGTGATGAATGAAAATGATGAATATGTGTATTTCATACATCACCTCCATATATGCAGACGTACATTACTACTTGTTGGCACATTTTTTATCATGTCATATCCAATAATGAGATTGCACTGACTCGTTAATGAGTGCTGCATTAAATAATTGGGTGTGTTTTCGTAATATATCCTTATGTATTGATTCTTTTGGCACATCATTCAGATGTATTGGGGCGATCAAACCTTTCTGTCCAGAAAAGACAGATGAATGGCGGAAATGCAGATAGATGGATCTGATTGACTCCTTAGGCAGAGAGATAGTGCTCCTTTAATTAAACCAATTTCTGACTTGAACATTTGAGGATATCTCCTTAACCCTCTGACATGAGGCAACATCATCAGAGACAATTAAAAATGAGGTTGAATCAGAACATGTATCCAGCTGAGGGTTATTTCACAATTATGCCTAGCTCTTTAACACTGCTTATAAAAATTACAATCCGGAATCCATGAACAATTGCCAGAATCGCTTTGATCATACTCTAGCTTGTAGTGCTAGAAGCAGACAATGATTACTTAAATCCTTGCTTCATGAACCATAATTCAATGCACCCAAGCCTCCTCCAGAAACTCCCTCCTCCTCCTCCTCTTTTTGACCCCTCACTAATAGAGCAACAGAATCTTGACGGGACACACTGCTTATTGTATTCCAGCACAGGAGAAGCTTACATGAGAATGAACTCCTTTCCCTGACTCAGTTCTTGTCTGAGGCCGAGTCCCTGTTTCCTGTGGATCCCCGGCAGGAGCCTCGCCCACCCCATTCTGCTAATACCCCAGATCCAGGCTTTGACAGCAGTCTGGGCCCAAAAGCTGTCAGACCCAGAAGGAGGCCCTTTTCCTTCTATCTTCCAAGGGTATCTGTTCTCTTTCTGTCACTAAGGGCACCATTCACTAAACTTTTTCACTGGGCAGTTTGTTTTAATAAACCAAAGTGTCACTTTCATTGATAGAGCTCAGGGGAAGGGGATTAGGCCCTGTTAACCAGCAAACTATGACCATCATTTAATTGCATATAACTGACTATTATGATTTTTCTTGTTTGTTTTTTGTAACCAATTGTTTAAAATAGTCTGTTTCAATGGACTGCAGATCTTAGAAATATTGCCATGGTAATTCTATGCTAATTCATCTTTTACTTTTCCCTAGGGATGTGAGTAGCCATGGTGTGTGGAAGTTGCTACGTAAATCTAAAGTGCTCATGTCTAGGTTCAAAACCAAGGCTAATATTGGGAAGTGGAGAAAATGATTTTGCAGGGAAATTAATAATAATATAATAAATGTTCATTTATAGATAGCTTTTCTGGACACTTCACTGGACAATTCTATGTGTCCTGTTTTCAGTAAATCCAGCTGTACAATCATAGTTGTCAAGCTCAAGGTTTTGATCCCAAATTATTTAGGCCAAAAGGAGGTTCGAGGAGTGAAAATGAAGGTGCCTACCATGGTGTTTGTTTAGAGTGACAAAATAAATTGTGGAACATTTAGCAGAGCAGGTCAAACAGAACATTCGAATTATAAAAGAGACACTTTGCTCAATTATTGTATTGCACTTGTCTGGATCTTGGGGAATAAGCACATTTATCTCATCTAATTTGTGATGAAAAAAGATAAGGTTTCAGATACCACAGGCACTTTTTCTCTGTGAAAGGCTTCCATTAGTACTGCATGTCTCCCTCTTTCCTCAGCACTTTATCCATCTGGGAGATCTCACTGCTGAACGAAGGATTTGTCACCACTTGTTAAATTTCTCTGTTCTAGTGGCATGATTTCTTCAGGATCTTTCAATACATTTCGATTTGTGTATTTTTATAGTTTTATGTTTTTAGATTTAATTTGAGGTACATCATTTATGTACGTCGCGTATCATATTGTATATATCATATACCGCATATATCATATGTATGAGATTTATACAGTACCCTATCATATACAGTAACACTTATTGCCTCCAATATCTCACGTAAGTTGTTAATCAATTCTATAATATTCTAATTAATAATCAGTGATTTTTTACCTATAAATTTGCATTCCTGATCCTGTTCTATTATCCGTGAAGGCGACATTTTAATTTATTATGGTCCGCTAATTGCTATTAAGCTGGCGCTGACAAATGGCCCAGGATGTTTGGTCGTTTATTTTAATTAAACCTTGTGTTTTAGGTGCAGCCAAACAGCCAAGAGGACCTCATGACTGATTACTTCAAGAAAGCTAACGAGGCCCCTGTCGTCAGCCGGCAGGCCGCTCTGAAAGACAGTGCCAAGATGCCTACGAGCTATGTCGTGCCAACAGTTAAAGCCATCCCCATGGAACCTGCAGAGGGACGTGCCCCGAAGCCGGGGCAGACTGTTAAACCCAACGTCCGGACCCCAGAGACGCAGGCTCTCCATAGTCCCGCTTCCCCCTGGCAGTCCCACACGTTGCCAAACCGCGCGGTGGCGAGTGGGCCTCCAGAGAGGCTGATGCAGACTCCCCAGAAGGCCAGTACCAGGGCCGGTGGCGGCACCAGCAGCCTGAGCCGCGCCTTCAGCTTGGCTTCAGCTGACCTTCTGCGCTCCAACGGTCCCGACACTTTCCGACAGGAGAGCTGCCCCAAACCGGCTGCGGAGCAGAGTTCTGGGATGGTGATCCGAAGGCAGGGCATGGTCGCCCGCGATAGGCCGCAGTCTGCCCGGGTCGCTGGGCCGTCGCTCCAGAGTGAAGAGCTGACCTATCGTTCGCTGGACCCCAGACGGCTGTCCGTAGCTCCTCCCAAGGAGGACAGACCCCTGTCCCCCGTGCTGCAGCCTCCACAGCACCACTCCTCTGCTCTCTCTCTCGCTGGCACCCCGGCACAGGCAGAGCGGTATGGCACTGACGCCTCTCAGCATCACCCCTCAGCCCAGTACGGCTCACCCAGATCCACCCCACAGCAGCAGCAGCAACAACAGATGCGGTCCGTATCTCAGCACCGCGGGGAGGTTGCCATGGTGACACCAGTCCGAGCGGTGGCAGCCCCAACACAGGAGGAAGGGGTGAGAGAGCTGAGACGGACAGACGCACCTCCGTCGAAGGGCCAGGCCAGGCATCAGGGGGAAGGGGGTGGGACAGGAGGTCTTAGTGCTGAGGACCACCTGAACCGAAACATCTCCAGCACGCCGAAGAGCACCCCAGCGTCCCCGGACCCTAACAATGACCCTCAGACTGTGTGGTATGAATATGGGTGCGTGTAAATAAAAACCCGAACTGCCCCCAAAACAGCATTCTCCAACGTAACACCTCCGTGCCCAGCCAGGAGTTTATTTTTATTGGTGTAATATTTTTTATATGTTCTCGGTGTCTGTAGGCCAGTTGTTGTTTCGTCTAGTTGACAAAGCCCTGTGTTCGGAGCAGCCGGCAGTATAGCCGACCTCATCACTTTTCCGAAGACTCGCCTGCGGTTGCCTTCAGATAAGGGTGTCTTGCCTCAAAGATTTCCATTCTAAGCAGTCAACCTGCACTTTACCCAGGATGCCTTCCTGCAGCACGTCTTTGCCTGAATTTGTCACTGAGCAAGTTTACCGAATGATTTTTACCTTCAGTGTCTCCTTTCCTTGTGGGACATAGCTGACTCAAAGACTTTCAGTAGCCTTGCTGCTGTTACTCTGCTAACTTTAGAGTTATTTTATACATTTACTGTACATGATGCCTGACAAAAACCTGGTGTTCAGTCTTCACTACTTCTGTTCTAACTCTGACTAACTACAGTGGTATTTTGAAGATGAGTCTGGGGGGGCTGTGGTATAAATATGTGGCTTAAATGCTGTCAAATGAATTCATTCCAGGGAATAAGGTGGTGTATAAAGAGTTTGCTGGAAAACTGGAACCTTCTGCCAGTGAACACCTGTTAAATGGGAACTTCTTTGTTTGCTGCTCAGGGAGAGATTGCTTGCTGAATGGATACATGCCAGCGTTGAGCTCTTGCCAGCACAGAAGTCGTCTGTGGTGATTCTGCTGTCTTTGAACAACATGAATGGTCTCTAAAGGCTAATGGTCGGCTTCACTTAGGCTAAACAAGCTTTTATGAATATGCATATTTAATGTTGGATCTTCTAAATACAGAAGAGGGCTGCATCCCTTTACAGATTTGACTCCAGCCATCTTGCTGAAGTGTCTCTCTCTTTGGTGACTGATGATGATACTGAGCATCTTGTCATTCTGTTTTTCTTTCACTGACACTGGAAAAGAAATACCTGTGTAAATAAGTCTGTTTTATATATGTAAATAGTTTGTAAATGTCTTAAAGCATTTAAATACAGAGAGCAGATGTTGGGCTAGGTAGGGGCACATTAAGGCAGGAAAATGTTTTAACAATGGTTATCTTCCTTGGTCTTTGAAATTAAAGGAAAAAAAAAACACAAAATGGGCTTTCTATGTTCTAATGGTTTGTCATGAATGTTAACTTTGAACTTTGCCTCAAATTTTTCCCCTGAAGCACAATATCAAAGTGCATAGTCCACTTTAACATTTATTGTAATACCATGATTACTGTGTGCTTGTAATGCTCTGTTACCTTCACCCTATGGTTTTGTTGCCATATTAATATTAATGTGCCTCACATAAAACATGTATTTGACACAGCACTCAAACACCGCAATACCTAATGACATCTACAAAAGCCATGGAAATGACAATACCAAGCAGTTTCTCTAGATCAGGGGGACACAGTTCAGCAGACGTTATAGGTTTCAGCACATCTCCTGTGCCTACAAAATTGGTCCAATTAAGACTATCATCCAACCAATTAGTTCTTCAATGCTTCAGTGAAATTTGCAGGCACTGGGTGTCCATTTTAATATGGCAGGGTTATCTTTAACTTCTTCCTTTGAGTTGTTTCCTGGATCACAATCTGAGGAGGCCAGGCTTTAAAGTCTGTACTAATGTGTCACCAGCGTCGCAAATAAACAGTAGTGCTGTTTCAGAAATTTCTGTGATACAGTACTGAGTCTTTAGTCTCCATTAGATGAGACTCTTTCTTTGAAGACGTATTTAGAAGACACCCATCTTAAATGTTACATGTTAAAAGCACAAGGATATAGGGCCCCTGAAGATACACTGAATGTGCTGAGGTACTTTAAAAATAGGAATGGGAGAAGTTAAAACATTGGATTGGTAGGGATTCAAATAAAGTTTTTTATACACTACAAAATGCTTTAGTGGTTTTTAGCTTATTTTTATTTGCTTCCGTAAAATATTTTTTAACCTCTGTACTTTTTTTATAGATTTGTCATTTTAAAGCTTTTTTTTTATTGTGAATTACAAGTTCAGTTTATTTATATTGGGAAGGTGATTTAAACTATAAATAAAAATTCAAAATTAAGTTGGCTTGTGTTTATCTAATGTGGTAGAATAACTTTTAAAACCACCAATATGCATGCTGCTTTTGTTTGTTTTTTTTGTATCAAACCAAAAACATTAACTTTATGAATTAAAGAAGTTAATGTCTTTGTGATTCAGGGTTCAGAAAAATTGTTTTACATTCAGTATGTTTTTCTTTAATTTATGAGGTCCAAATCGTCAAATATTTTTGAGAAGTTATGAACTACTACGGATCATTTCCGTTATGTGTCCTGCTCCAGATCATGTGTTATTTTCTATTTTGTCATTAAAGTGGGAATTCTGTTTCTGAGAATTGTATTTGTCAAATTTAACAGATGTGCAAGTATCTAAACTGAACAGAATATCTTGTCAGTGATTTAAATTTGCTAGAGAGTCCTGTTCTTAGTGCTAGCAATATTAATCATGCCATTTTAAACTTAACTTCACTATTGAAATGGAGGTCTTTTCAATGTAAATGTTCTAAATCTATTTAACTCAATGTTTTCCAAGAAGAAAACCATAGAAACAAAAAGTAGTTCAAGAAGGTAGGATAGGAATAAAAATATGATTACAGTATATATATATATAAAATGGCATTGCCTGTAGCCTGGTTGTCAGATATCAGAAGAAAAGTTAGGCTGGACCTTGTCCGTACTGCGATGGGTGATCTCTAAAGAAAACCAGGTTGCTATCATGATGGATGCTGGTGGACCAGTGCTGGAACTCTTCAGTACAGAGTCTCCTAACCAAATTATTGGGGGCACTGTGCTGTAGTTTGTTCCATCCTTCTGAAGAGTTAAATAGAGGTCTTCACTGCTTGAGTCATTAGAGCCCCAATGGCACTGTTTGTAAAAGTAGGAGTGTTATTTTCAGTGTTTCTACTAAATTCCTTCCTTCCTGGGCTCTGCAACTTGGCCTCTGTAAATGTAATTAATTTAATTAACTTTCTAATTTTCCCCTCTGACCTGCTGTGTAGTGGAGCTGTTGGTGTATATTGGCGACTATGCGCCATCCAGGTGGGGTTGCACTTAAGAGGTGGGTGAAGTAGATCTTTTCCTGTGAAGGACACTGACTCCTTTAGGATAGAAATTGCCATATAAATGCAAGGAATCAGAACATTTAAAATGTTCTGTTACCCCCACGTCAATGGATTTAGAGCCTTTTAAAACTAGATGGTTTTAGGGCAAAATGTCATAATGTAGAATTAGATACAAAGTCATATTTTCATCTTTACTTAACATTAAGCAAGTAATTAAAATGCTACACAAACTTATTATCTCATTTATGTTATTGACTTATCTTAAGTGTTGTTGCACTACAACACCTACTACTTATGTGGTCAATCACTTAATTGAAAAATTGCTTAGCTTTTTGTTGTAAACAGTAAGATGTGAAGCTTTTTTGTAGCCACAGGAGGGTACCCAACGAGATAGTTAGAATTAATTTGACAAATTGTTTTTTTTTTAAATACAGAATGATAAGTCCGGTATAAGAGTAGTGTTTTTAAATGTACTATTAAATAATTTTAAAGATACGTCGCCAGTCTAACTCCCTGCTGCCGGAGTGTCCCCCTGTAGCTAAGATTGTGCTTCTGCCGAAGAAAAGAAAATGCGGTGTTATTCCTGAACATCTACAGGACTAGAAGGAGGTTTTGTGTAAGTCTTGGGTTTTACACTATGTGGCGCTTAGAGCGAAAGTTAATAGGATTGTGAAACGTCCTCCTCTGCTTATATCGGTTGCGCTCAGATCAGATCAGTCAGTTGGAATTGCTCTCTGAGCGGAGAAGGCGCCATCGGAATAGGTGCAGAGGTTCCTGGAAAGGAGACCCCCTGCACCCTCGGATTTATCGAGCTATAGCTTCGGTGGATACCGAATTAAGGTAAGGGAAGATTTGGATAATGATCGGCCCTTTAAAAAAAGAAGATGCCACATTATCAAATGACAAGTGCTGCCTGGCGGCTATGTTAAAAGTGGTTAAGTAATTAATACTATTTTTTGCAAAAAACAAGGATTTGATAAGATTCTATAATACACACTATTAATTCTTACCTGTCAAAACTGCCTCGAGGCATAGTTTATTCAGAACAACCGAAATAATCAGACTTCTAGAAAATAAAATTCTGGGATTAGTATACATTCTGCTTAATATCATTTTATAGCCTGCAGAGGATGGTTTCTTTTTGTGAGGAGGTTTTGGTTTCAGAAACAAACTGAGCCCAGATTAATTACAAATTGAATTGCGCATTTTTTTATAAAAAACAAGAAAAATGCTGATTTACCAGCGGCCCCTGTAGTACTCATCAGTGATGGAGCTGTCTTGTACCTTATACCTACCCGTTATTTCGGCGCATTTCTTTCTCATCTGTTAAGGAACATCTCTTTTTCGCTTTATTTTATGGTGAAGTGGACATCACTCTCTCTTTATAAAGTGTAGCGTTAATGTCGGTGAGTTAGGGAGTCGTGCAGTAGACCACCCTTCACGATTGACAAGCCGTTGTGATCGTAGTTGGTATAGTTGCTTTGGAAGTTCGACAGCGGTCGTTGCAGAGCTTTGAAGCCAGCACCTACACATAAAGTGGAAATTAATGTAATTTCAGTGTGACTAAAGCTTGTGTTGCCGTCCGGTATTGATTAGTTTTAAATATTGCCATAGAGGAGCGCTTGATTGTGTGTAATTAGTTTTATGCTAGAACAGAACAGATTTTGCGAATTCTCCGAGGACTACAGTCTGGTTTACAGTATATAGCATCCTTTGAGAGCTACTGTGTTTTTGGATAAGTGCTACAGCATGCATGGTTACATTTCTGACATTTTGTTACTTTTCTTTTAAGAAACAATGGACAGATCCGCATTTCAGAAATCCATGTTATCCTGTTTAACTGATCTCCCTAAAGTAAATCTGGTACCTCCCAAAAACAGCTTCCATACAGCCAGCCTTGAGATCTACTTACCTTTAGTTGGTTAGTGAAGGCATCATGGATGTTCTGCTGACATGTCTTAGTGCAGAAAGGAGAGTAAATGTGTGTGATGAAAGACCCCTGCTTCGCCCTCTTACATTTTTTTAGGAATTGCAGGTTTGTAGGCCAGCTGGTAGGTTAGATCCCAAGATAGATTTCTTGGGTAGAGAGATTTAAATGCTGCTCAAGTATTTTTACATTTTTGCAAACATAGAAAATAATAGGTCTTATTCACTTCTTAAGACGCTCAGTGAGTTGAACATGAATGTGCATTCCCTGATTTTACCATGTGAAGTATATCTGACAAGCATGTTCAGTCATTTTTATGCTGTGTTTCGTTCAACACCTAGATTTATCTAAACAGTCTGGTTGTCTGTGAGGTGGTCCATTCTTCTGTTTAAGAATTGGTAATCAAACTATAATTTTTCATCAGTTGCTTTACTGTAGCTAAGACTTTGGCTGAGTTGGTGTTCTACACAAGTAGAATTGCTAGGAAGGCCTGGACTTGTTTGAAGTAACTTGCAAAATTGCCTCTTTTGTGAGACAATTAATCTAACAACAGAACAGAGATAACAAAGCTATTTTTGTTCAAGCTACGATTTCCTGACTATGGTGTGATTCTTTTCACACTGGAAATAATACGCACTGAAATGCCTAGCAAGGAAGATTGTTTTAAATTTCTTTGTATTTACCAGTGGTAATCTGATTATATTTATTTTGAAATATACTAAAAACTTTAAATTAATCTGCCCTTTTGCGTAGAAGTTGACCCACTCGGTCTGAAAAGTGAAGTAGGTGATTCGAAAAGATGTGGTAGACAGGAGAATGGAATATTTTAATTTGCCTGATATAATAATAATAATTGCTTACACTTATATAGCGCTTTTCTGGACACTCCACTCAAAGCATTTTACAGGTAATGGGGACTCCCCTCCACCACCACCAATGTGCAGCCCCACCTGGATGATGAGACGGCAGCCATAGTGCGCCAGAACGCTC